CCATAAGCAGTGCTACCCACAGCCCAAGTTACCAATCCTTTGATTTTTAAGAAAGGTCATCACCCCTACAGAAGGCAGTGGCTGTATCTGAATGCTTGCAGGAATTCAGTACAGTCTCTTCTCCTGCTGAGCTCCTGCAGAGTCCATGAGGGCATCTTTTACAAGGGGAGATGTTGCTGGTAATCTGTGTGGTTGTTTGAATATTTATCCTTTTTTATTCTCCAATAGTATGCTATGTCCTACAGCATAGTTCCAGGTGCCTTGCTTGAGTCTTCTTGCCTGTTGCACGTGTTTTTGCTTATATTGTCTGCAGTGCTTATATTGTCTACCATATAATGGGTTTATTTTGTAGATTGTTTTTCTCTAACTTTGAGGTATTTTAATGTGGTGTCTTGAAAAGATCAGCTAATGACTTGTCTTTTTTAAAGGTTTTTCATATTTAGCATTTTTTACTTACAAGCTCTGCAAAATCCAAGAATTTAAAGTTTGAAGTGAGTCAGCTCTGACCAAGTCCTGTGAGAAAACTACTTAAAAGGAAGAGAGGAAAAAAGTTACACTGTGCAAACAGAAGCATTTGTTGGGAGCAGGAACTTAATTCCAAATTCACAAAATAAGTTCCCCAACCACTACACTATAGAGGTAAACACAGTGTCTACACCACACACCTTTATGTTTCATCTTTCATCCTGACTCAGAAATAATCTGTTGCTCAGATAAAAGCAGAACCAAACTAGCAGATGAACTGGAGAAGGCAATCACATGGCAGATGGGTGCTTACACTCCACTGAAGCTCACACGATGACTACAAGGTTAGCTAAACCAATGAGGCCATGTGCATAGGCTTCTTTGCAAACATACATAAACCTGCACAAGATGCAAGGCAGTGAAGAGTCAGACTCCTGATTTCTAAAACTAACTTAGTTTGTCAGAATAGAAAACAAAACAAACATAAAAACACCAACGCCCTTAACTGACACGATTCAGAGTCGTGAAAATGTTTTGGAGAAGGGATAAAGCAGTTCCTCATAAGAAACTTGAAGTATTAAGTCTTATAGTGCTATGGGAACAGGTCACTCAAACACTGTATGTGATGTGAGCAAGGTCTTTACTGTTTAAAACAAGCTTCAGAAGAAACGTGGCTTTGTTGATGATAGGAACTGAATCACTCTTTAGTTGTCTTCTTTTACACTGTTTTTCTGATTTGAGTACTCCATTGGCTTTGCTTTTAAAATTGAACAAAGTAAGATGATGACTAAAGAAATAAGAAAGAAATTCTATTATGTTTATGTTGTATGATTTCAGTTTTCTGATATGTTTAAAACTAACATGCTCTGATGAATAAAGGGTTTGATATTTAGATTTTTGAAGATTTTTTTAACTAGTATATGTGCATCAAGTTTTTTTCCTGAAAAGTCTGTATCAGCTGGAAATGAAGAAGGTAGACCTGCTCGGATTCCCATCCATTTAAGGTTTCTCACAGCTTGTATACAAACAATGTGAGACAGAAGCAGAAAACCAGCAACCTATGTATTGTGGAAGCATGGTATATATGCTTATTCACTTTCTGCAGGCACGGGAGCATTTCACTTTGATACATGTTCTCATTCACTGAAGATGTGTGTTTTCTCACTGTAGTTAGGAACACTTGGAATCTCTGCATTTTTAAACAAAACATCCAAAACATTTGGTTTTTTTAGCTTGATGAAGTTCTTCAGATTTTTCCAATACTGTAAGCTTTTTTTTTTACACAATCACTTTTAATTGATAATTCTTACTTTAACCTTCCTTGAAAATCTTCAGTATAAGTGACATTTGTACCCCCAGTGAACTACATGAAAAAAATCTAACTGAGGGAATTCCCAGGGCAAAGGTATAAAATTAGATAAAATAATATGGTAAGAATTGAAGTGAAATATCTAAGACTTGAGATTAATTATGAAGTATTTAATATCCTTAAGATATTGATAGGGCCAAAAATGGATCAGAGAAGACGACATGATGATGAAGTGATATGAGATGCTGAAATCTGTCAACACTCACCATTCAGTCAGACAAAAATCCATTAGGAATTTCAGTCAGAGCTTGAATAAAAATATTTATGATACAGAAAGATTTTGAAGAGTTGGCTCTATGTTTGAGAGCATGGATAGGAAACAACAGAAAACTGGAAATGAAAACTCCAGAATCCAAGTTAAAATTCCTCCTGTTATAGTCAGCATGGGGCACTGTGTTTGCAGTCCTGATTTTTCCACCCCTGTAGTTAGATATGCAGTATTTTACTCACAGTCTGCATGTAGACAGCCATATCAGCTGTGATTTTAATCTCTTATAGTTTGATGAACATCTTTACATAGTCTTATTTTAAGATCACCATTTTAAAATCCAAAGACTTGGTTTAAGTTAACTTACAATATTTTTCTTTAGATATATACATATTAAACAAAGTAAAATAAACTGTTTTCATTTTTTTGAGGTGTGATTAGCATAACTGAGGCAAGTCTAAAAAATATTGTATTTAAAAAAGCATCTAATTGTAATTAAAGTTCTGGTGCCTCTACATTTCAGTATAATACTCAATCATAATTAAAACCAAGCGAGATTCTCATTTTTCCTTTGCAAAACTGTGACTCAGAGTGAAAGAACATTTCATTTGTCCAATTAATTACTGGTCATTCACACTGTCATGAAATCTTAAAGCTGGCAAAAAGGGTTTGAAATTGAGTTTGGTTGGATGAGTTAACAGTTCAAATGAGCCTTTTAAAAACAGTCAGAGCAACCAAGCCCAAGGCAAACCTGGACCTGGCAGCAGCATTACCCTTCGTAATATCAGAGCACCAGGCTCAGAGACAGGATGGGCAATAGCAAGAGATGGCTAGAAGGCTATGGCTAACAAGTTCAAGACAAATATTATCACAGATAGCATATGCAAAGAGAATGTTTATTAAAATGCAATAAAAATAAATAAATGAAGAAAGTATCTGCTGGTGGGCAGAGTGATGACATGGAAGAGAGGGAGAAGGAAGACAGGCACCATCCAGCACACATTCAGTTTTTGCAGGAAGAATAATAGAAGTCTTTGGTTTTTCTGCCATCGTGCTTCTCTCCTTCCCTCCCTAGATATAGACGCACTCATCTTCTTGTGAAACCTGATCAGAAATACAAAGGAAGCAAACCTTCCTATATTCCTAGCACAGAACAAGATTCTGTATTAAGGTCCTACTGCCACCTGCTTATCTGAACATGCAAAGCAAGTCCTCCATAAGAAGGCAGGCTTATCTTTCAGATAAGACAGTTACTGAGGAATAAGAGAAACTTCAAAGCAAGAGCAGATGAGATACTGAGAGTTCCAAAGTCAGCAGGATACTCCCAGCAAGTCCATAATCCCTAAGATTGATGAATGCTGCTCTAGGTTACAGGTGATAACATACACTATTTGCTACAGCACAAAGATTTTGATTTCAAAAAAGAAACAAAACCAGAAATGCAAATGTTTCTTCACAAAAGAACTTGTACATGGGCTACTTTTGACACTTGGAACATATTCAGCCAGTTGACTTCCTCTGTGTATGGTGCCCTAAGTTAAGTGGTTTGGCCTTATCTTCCTCCTCCTCCCTCTATAGCTGAAGAATTTTAAAGGGAGGCATTATTTTCCAAAAGGCATACAACATAAAAATATGGTCATTTCCTCTTTCAGGATGAAAGCACTAGAAGTCAGATACCCCTGCAAGAGATCCAGGACACTAGCAATGTGTGAATAAACCCTTTCAAGAGTGGTTCCTCTAACAGGAAGCCTCACGCTTCCTGCAATGCTGGTTAGAACCATAAGAAACAGCTACCAAGTAGAGCTGGACAAAAAAAACCCCAAATTGAAGGAAGTGTTTTCATCTGGAAAATAAAACTGGTCTAAATGTTTCACAAGATGATGTTGAAGACCAGAGGCCTCAAAATAAGTTTCTTTAAGCAACTGAATAGAAAACTTTTCTTAGACCATATTATGGACAAATGCTGCAGCTCAACCTTTCTCAAACAGTGATTAACAGAGAAAAACAGATTTGCATGGTCAATTTGCTCACTTTTGCAGTCAACTAACAAATCACATTATTTTAAAAAATCTGAGTGGCTATTAAAACGTGAATATGGTCTTTGATTATAGTCTTTTATATAATATATGAATTTCCATTTTTTGCCACTAGCTGGGTTTTGAATGGTATTCATGGAAAAGGATAAAAAAAGGCTGGAAGAAGAGGAATCAAACAAAGCATTCCTCTGGCATTTGCTGTAGGAGAAACACTTTTTCCTTCTTGGTACTTCAGGTTTCAAAAAAGTAGAATGCTTTTTGACCTTAATTTTTCAGATACCTTAATCTTATTGTATCTTCCTAGTAGAACCATAGTTTCATGTGTGCAGGTAGATGAAAAGATTAGGGTAAGTCTTCAGAGAGTTTTATTTGCTAGAGAAGTTCACAAAAGTGACTCAGATTTCTAAAAGCTACCCTGCAGGCTCAGCCATTTCCCTTAGTAAGCAATAGGCTTACTCTCGTCTGACACTGGTCACCTAAAATATGGGCATGTCTTAGCCTGTTGCACAAGTTCCCCCTCCAGTCAAAAAATGAAAATTGTCACCTCCAGGTAGCAGTTCAACCTCTCCCTCCTAAAAGAGGGACCCTGGAAATGCTGCCCCTTCCATTAGCTAGAGAGAGAGTCCAGACAATATAATAAACACTTAAGCAGGAGGGAATGGACACCACCCTCAAAGTCCCCAAACCAGAGTGCTTCAAAAGCTCTGGTCTGCTACACTGATGCCTACCCAGGAGCTGAGCTCCTCCAGAAGCCATGTTCCAGCTGCAGTGACAGCCAAGGAAACGCCTGGTAGGGTCTCTGATCATTGGTATGTGTCTTGCTACTCATAAGATCTGTGCCAGTCTTAATTAGCATTAATGCCAGACAACACAAATTACTTAGGTAAGAATTATTTGTTATTTACTGGGCCATCTTACTTACTGTTATGATGTGATTTACTGTTGGGAAGTGGCTGCCCTTGGGTGAAGCTTCAGTAGGACCAGCATCAAGGACAGCAGGTTCTGAAATGAAGGTAGCCTTTAAAAAAACACACCAGAAACACATACTTTTATTCTGAATGCAGAAGAGCAATTCCCTCCCTCTTAGGTTAGTATACAAATACTTTGCCCTATTGTTATATGTGGTTGCACAATGAAAGCAATCAAAATTGTAATTCTTGCTGTTCCCCATTTTTGATGAATTGTATATTTGAACTGTTGAAATTATCCGTTCAAGAATAAGAAGTTGTAACACACAGTTTCAAGAGAAAAATGCTCATTATTTGTACCCAGATTATCCCTGTGGTCAAAACATTAGGATTCCTATAGTACATCTGATTGCATTAATTCCTTTTCATCAACCACACACACAAAAACCAGATTCATTTTCTGTATTCTTTAAACAGATGAATGATTCTGCCATCTTGTGGGAGATGGAGAAATCCTAACTATTTGTATGATAACAACAGCAGAGCACAACAATATGGAAAAGAAATTTCCTGTATTTTTCACTTGTTTCAATACTGATTAAGTGAACAGATACTAGCAGTTATTATATTCCAAATAGCCCCAAAAATAAGAAATTAATTACAGCCTTGTGGGGGAACCTGACAAAAGGGGTTCATTTTTAAGATACTGAGTTTATTAGAAACTCTGCTCAGAAGGTAAAGGTACAGCAACTAAAAATCCTGATTTTTTTTCCCCTGATGATCTGATAATGTGAAATATGTAAAGAATTATTTAAACTCTCACATCTGTTAAAATACCTTTCATAAAAGAAAAATTGTAAAATTATACAGAATTTTATCTATAATTAACCTTTTAAAAACTGTTAAACTAACACGGTATATGGATTATAGAACACAATTCTCTGCTAATAATTCTATAGCATAGTTTGACAAAATTAGTAGATTAATTTATGATTAAATAGTCTTGGGCTGACAGAGGTTGTATCCATATTCCTGACAATTTAACAGACATACAGTGCTGTTTGCTCTATCTCATCTTAATTCGACATGGAGTATGCTGCAGTAAAGAGTATTCATTTAAGCAAGTATAAATGACAGTTTAAGAGAAGGAGCTGAAAAGAAGCCATGGACCAGTTTCACCTCAAAGCAATTTTGTAGAGGTTCCCCTCCTACTCCACTATTTTCAGTAGGTAGAAACCAAACAGTACGTCTAAAATATATATCACAAAACTGTATACGTGCTCTTGGGAAACTGAAGATCAAGACAGTGGTTTCTGCTGAGAAAGATGAGGCTTGAGGTGGAGCAGCCCGAGAGACACATCTATCCCTTGGGCACTTGGCACTGCAAGCCTCCATCAGGGGAGTTGTTTTGAGCTGTTCTCTCCCCATCAAAAATTACCTTGGGGAAACAAGCTCACCTAGTTTATATTTCTTTGTTACAACTGCAATGAACTCATCTAGTAACTCTAAACCATGACATAGGAAAGCTTCTTGGACCAGGTACAACCGCATTTGTTCTTACATAACTGCTTATTAAGACCATTATTTTCCTATGTGAATCAGTCATTTAAGTGAATAATATTTTGTTAAGCACTTTGAACATAAAGATCTGACAACCAGAATATATTAAGAAGGAATACGACAATTTAATGTTATTATAATTTCTTCATAATAAGTATCTAAAAAAGCTAAGGCAAGCCTAAATCTGGATCTCAAATTCCCCAACTCTGAGTGATTTGATTTAAAAGACAACAACAAGAGAATACACTCCGCATTGACAAAGAACACATCTACCTCAGCCACTCTGTCTCCTGCTTGTACTCCAGCCAAGTCTGATGGGCTGTCTTTCGGCAGCCGTGCAATCAAGATCCCCTGGTAAGACAAAAGACAGGTTTTAGACCTGACAGAATTTCTTCTATTGTTCTTAGATGTAAAAAGCAAATGGGAAGTAATTAATTTTCAAGACTTGTTGTTCTGTTGCCCCCTATAAAATTAAAACCTAAATGCCTTAGCACATTAGCAAGGCCAAAAAAAAAAGTCTCCATGGCTGACACATACAATAATGAACAAAAGTCAGTAATTGTTTACACTGTGCCATGGGGGACAGATTGGGAAACAAAGATTTATTTAAATGATAATTCAGTGAGAAGTTGTGAGAAATACTTCTCTCAAGTCTAGTTAGTTCCTGGGAATTAGCAAATGGGAGGGAGAGCATGTGGATTGCCAAGGGAGTGACCTCAAATTGAAGCAGAAAATGGAAATTAGACAACAGTGTTTCAGCCATCAGGTTGCCTCTGGAAAATCATTGGTTTACCTTGGGTTTTCTCTCCAAAATCATCCCTCCAGAAGCTTCCCCATCAAAAGCTAGTGTCAGCTCCTACTTTAGGAAATAAGTTACGCATGTTTACCCTTGCTAGCTTTATCACAAAGACAATAATGTTACATGAAGGACAACCTCAGAAAGAAAACAACAAAACACAATAGCTCAAAGAACTACTCATCGGTCTATTTCTAATGATCAGTAGATAAATTTTGAATAAGAAATGCACCTCATCACTGTCTTTACACGAGGGTGAGCCCTTTCCACCAGCAATGCTAATACCAAGGCTCCCCATTTGGCTGCACACAGTAATGGTTACCTGTAAAGAATTACAATGGGTGAGTAGTCTGATTAATCAAAAACATTGCCAACATTAGCATTGAAAATCTACTTCTCACTCTGAACACCAGCAGACATGACCCTAGAGAGCTCAGCCCAGAGAAGAATGGTGCTACGCTTCAACACTGGCACATGCAAGACTAGTCTTTACTCTTCAATAATACCAAGAATGCATGATTTCTCCAGGTGTTAGAGTCATGCCAAAACCATATAAGGTTGTTTATAAGGCTACTGACCAACCAGTTGCTTCACAAAACCCACAGATTCACTAAGCATTCACGATGGCAACAATGCCAGTCAGTACACAGGAGAAGTGAAGAGTAAATATTATTTGATAAATTTATGAAAAATCTTTGCTTTTAACAAATTTATGCAAATTTAACAAATGTATGCAGTTACTCTTGCACATAGAAGATACTCATCTGAAATTCCTAATTCCTAAAATATATGAAAAGACCATATCAGCCAAATGAAAACCACTCTGCCACATGTGGCTTACACTTAGCATTACCTGAATGCTCAACACTTCACAAGTCCGTGACTGCCAGCAGTGCTTTGGTGACAGGTCCCAGCACCGGTGCCACTTTTGGGCAAGCTACCTTTCCTGGTGCTGCATCCTGTCCCACAGGCAGTCAGCAGAGGTGTGCCTTGTACCCTCCCAAGAGACAATCCATAAAGTATGTTTCCTCCTCATGTCCTCCAAAGCATGCCAAGATGGGATATATCCATTGAATTCAGACCATAGCTTTTTCATAACTTTCAGCCAAAATCTTGCAGTTCTCACTGATAAATTTTCACTTGAACATTCCCACTCCTTTTCACAGGATGGAGGCTTTCTCATGCCATGAGGGTAAGACCATGCCACTGCTCCAAAACCGTGGACTAAATAAAGACTTAGCTGAGTGCCCACCTGCACAAACTCTTGACTTGAGCTCACAAAACCAAAGCTGGATATATAAAATGAGATGCATGGCTACAAGGAAAGTGAGTTTTGTCAGTTTTTTTTCAAAGGAAAATTCTTTTTATACATAAACCAGGGGGAGCAAGGATGACCTTCAGCTTACCCTCTCTAAGTCTCATGAAATCTACCATGCAATGTCCCCCTTCTATGCATATTTTATAAACTGCCACACACAAGAAGAGGACTTACCCCCCACCCCCAACGCATGGACTTCCCCACAGAAACACAGAGCCCCTCCACCAGCAAGCCCAGCCCATGCAGCAGTTCAATACCTTCAGTGGGGTCTGTGGCACATCCATCACCCTCAATTCCTCTGGGATCCGGCTGCTCTCACTGGGGAAGCTGCCTGCTGAGGAGACAGCTGGCTGCACCTTAGTGTTAGTCCCTGGAGGATTCTTCCCTTTCATTGCCAACTTGTGCTTTTCTTGAAGAGTTGTTCTGGTATTTCTTTGATCTCTCATGCCACCATTGCTATCAAAAAGACTGCCGGAAAACTTGGAAATAGGTTCCTGGGGGTTAAAGATGAAAAAGGTAAACACAGCAACGGCAAGGATAATACCTACCTGATACACAGACCCTTCTCATGGTAACCTGGATTTGTTCCTCACTATCCCATTGCTGTATGGTAGCATTTGTTTCACTGAAGACAAAACTGTAACTTTACAGCAAATGTACAAGTATTTCTTTTACCATTATTTCTCTGGGCATGTTTTGCCCTTGAAATCAGGGTTGAACTTGTGGGAACAGGGAGAGCACTGTGATTCATATAGCCTTTCACTAGATCCCCAAGCACATGCACAAGCACATGTAACACACATATACCCAACTAAATCCTGCAATGCCCTATGAAAAGGACAGAGCATGAGAACAACACTGTTTTGGCCAGCCTCTGGCATTTCTGTAGCACTGAATCTACTGTCCCAGGGCCAGGAATCACACACTTGAGGCAAAGACCTTTCCATACAGAAAATAAAACATTTCTCATAGTACCTCAAGGTGCACATTCCATTTTTGGGACCATAGGTGTGAGAGGGAAGGTAAGCCTATATCTTGCATCTATGACTCTAGACTTTGTTTCAGTAAGTGGATTGACTTTATTCAGTTGCAAATGGCAGTTAGTGGAGACCTGCAAACTAAAGTGAGTTAGGAATTCCTCTGGAAATGGAACCTCAAAGGTGAGGTATCCCAAAGGCTGCTTTGAAGCCTGGCTCTAGGCTGCACCTCTGAGATGCAGTGAGGAACTGAAAACGTCACCCTGTGCTTAGCTAAACCACAAGGGCTTAAAAAGAGAAATAACTAAAACACATCCAATTAAAACACATCCACCAAACAATTAAAGCTTCAGATAAGTTTAACAGCAGAACACAATGACATTTCCCAGCCATCAGTTATGTTTGGCAAAGGGTTAAATGAAATTCAGACATAATGCCCAAATTCTGTTCATATTTTATGAACGCTTTGTTTATGTTTAGCTGACTTTTGCTCCCTACTTTGATGGGTTAAGGTCGAATCAGACCTTCCTATTGCCCAAATCCTTCTAACTTCAGTTGGCAGTAAAATGATGTAGCAAACAGATCAACATCTCCGAAAATAAGCCCCATAAACTTCCCTAAGCTTGGAAGTTTAATAGCAGAAATAAAAAGCAGTGGCATTACCTTGAACATCTTTGCAAAAACCCCAGTAGACACTTGATTTTTCAATCTATATTGGTGCTTTCCCACAATCTCTTTTTGGTTGGGTAGAAAAAACCATTGCCAACCCCAGGGAGAACATACAAGGCATGATTGCTTCCTATTTTCACTTAAAAGGGAATTTGTTTAGCTTTAACTCACATAAAACATTCATTATCTTTCTTCTCTTGAGAGAGATTCCTCTTTACGCTGCCAGGCTGACTAACCCAGACCCATCAGCAGTGCTACAATGCCATGGGTGCCAGGGAAAAAGGTCAGGAGCAAGAGCCAGGACTGGGGGTTGGAGCAGAGGGCACATCAGCAGCACTCACAGGTGCTAGGAAGGAAGCAGACGTCCTGAAAGAAGAGCAGGAGCCCAAATTCCTCTCTCATTTCCCAGAAAATTTCAGAAGAAAAGACTGGTGAGCAATGCCCTGACAGGAGAAGGTTGCAAGAGTGCACTGACAACCTCCTTTTTCCAGGCTATAACCAAGAAGACAGCCAGGCTGCCACATAGGTGACAGACATCTGGCAGGTACAGGCTAGAGAAACCACAGCACGCAGGGTTTCCCAAATATCACCATCCTAGAAGAGCACCACCCAAAACTAAACATGCAGTGGAGTAGTACTGCAACCTCACTTTTCTACCATCCAGTCCAAGGGAGACACTGAGACTCGAGTGCTGCTAATCTCCTACTTACCTGAAAGAGATGGAGGGAGGGTGGTAACTGGGGATATAAGTAGGATTAAAGTAAAATCATATCTGTCTCATCCTTATTCAGGTTATTCATTGTAACCTGCAAGTTAAACTGTACTCCTGAGGGTTGCATGGATGAATTGTAGGCAAAGTAAAGGAATAAAACATTGAACACGGCACTGTACCCCCTGCACAAGCAAGGATGTAAGAGTATAAGCAATGCAGCCTCCCACAAACCCAAAGTGCTCGGCTGTACAGCACTGCAAGCAGTTGAAGACTCTTGATGGATACACATTTTCCCTCCTGATTTCAAGGAGACTACCTACATCATCAGGATCCTCGAGTTCCTCTGCTTCTTGCTCAGGACTGCTCCTTCCTTCCCTCCATTTTCCATTAGCAGAGCTGAATTTGTACAGGTTACCACCATGAAAACTTTCCTTTCCTTTCAATGAGGCCCAGCGAGAGCCCTGAGAGCTCCAGTTATGGCCACTGTACAGTTTAGGAGACTTGGGAAGCCACTTAATAGAGTCCTGAGGGGAAGATGACAAAAAAAAAAAAAAGACAAAAAGGCAATGAATAGATTTTAAGAAAGTGATTGAAGTGTGTAAGTGCAGAAACTGTCTGGCAAGTTCTGCTAGGCATTTTTGTATCTTGTAAATATTGGATTTCCCGTTTTTACCTTGAGAGGTACCTTCAGTCCCAGAGAGACACTTTGCCAGTTAATGGGCAATGCTGGTGATACAAAGAGCAAGCAAAGGCTGCTGAAAATAATGGAAGCCTTTAGGGGCTTACATGAGCATGGAACCAAGCCTACTTTCAGAATCGTAAAGAAGAATTAATGATCAACAACAGTCTTCAATAAAGTGTACTATTAAGAAAACAAACAAGAGCACTTAGACCTTTAGTGGCCATCTTGTCTCATGACCTAAGTTAAAAAAACCTAGTAAGTCACTCCCCTCTTCATTATTCATTAAATAAAATGTTTCATTTTTTTAATGGTCCCAATAGAAAGTACAGCACTGAATTGATCTTTCAAGATTGCTGATTTTCAAAGTGATTGTAGTCCAGTAATCCCCAAACATCCATTACTTATTTACATCCAAAATACTTCACCTCTCTCACTCACACACAAAAGTTCATACATGACAAGTTGTGCCAAGGTTGTCTATGTACCTTAATTTCATTGAACTTCAGAAGCCATTTTTCAAACTAACCTTTATCTTTCTTTTAAGCTTTCTTTTAATCTCACCTCTACATTTTCTTACAGTGATACAAATCCAGTAGCAGAAAGCAGCCTCATGTCATATAAATATACGGCACATTAAGGCACGTGCTCCAACAAGAAAGAGAGATGGAGAACACAAACTAACAAAAACAATTATCAACAAGCTTATGGTGGGGCTATCAGCAGCACACAGTGACCTTCACATTGTTTAAACAGATATTTGATTCATATTTAACAATTCTTTAAGTTCCCATTTTCCTTTTTAAATGAAGAATGGTTATGTTCACACACATACACAAACACAGATTTCTCACTGCTACCAGCAACCCAGATGTCACAATCTGTATAAGATCTAAGGTTGATAAAGACAGGGAGGCAGGACAAGGCATCTTATGCTGGACATACTGATTCATCTTCAGGTGCCAAAGGAGCTCCCCTTGGGATTCTTAATTTCCTTTTGGTTTTAGCATGGCTGAAAAGACTAAGGAATGCACAAGGACAATATCTCAGTATCTCACTGGAAAACATTGTAGACCTTTCTGTGAGTCTTGAAAAGACTTTGTTAACCTCAACAAAGGATTATTTGGATTGTACAAGGAAGGTATGATTGGCCTCTGCAGGAAATTTGCTGTTAAACCATATTTTGAACTGCACTGACACTCAGTGACACTGCTATTTGCCAATAATAGCCCATATTTCTGGTTATTCTAAACCACATTGCTCAGAACACTAGACCTGATTGCCAATTTAGTTGATCAATGCAAAAGCAGCACAATCAATCACGACACAGCAGTAGATTGCATTTCTCCTGACTATTCAAAATGCGAGGCAGGATCCTGGTATTTCTTTACACTTGTCTTGAATAAGGAAACAGAAACTTTGCTTTCTGTGAATATTAACTAGGTGAATAGCAATTCTAATCAGACAGGTAAACAGCACACTAGGTGAAATTGTTTGCTAGTGGTCTGGTCTGTTTTATTTCAGAATAGCTAATGTGACACCTCCTAGTGTTCAGGGTACTTTCAGAGACACTTTAAATCCTTGTCAACTTTTAAGCTCATTAGGAAGTCATAAAGCAATTTCACCCTAAAAATAAATATGGGTACAGTGAAGCATTTAACTTCTTCCAAGGAAATATCTCATCTTTGTTTGACCCTGGTCCCTAATTCTAAACAACAGCTTCTCAAACCCAGCATGCCAAATTCTGTAAGACCAGGCTATTCTTTCAAAGTGACAGACAGAGATTTTTAATTAAACTAAATGCTGTCAATCACTTCATCATTTTAGGCATGCATTCAACTGCAGTGGTAGCCTCCTGTATGCATGAGGAGCAAGGTGATGAGCATCAGTAAATTTTACATCCCTATGTCCCTTGCAGCTCAGCTGGGAATATAGAGTTACAGGGCACTCCTGCTCTCTGTCTTCTCCTATGGCACAGGATGCTTTTCCTCATGCTGACATAAAGCTGTAAGGAAAATTCAGTACCTGTTCAACACCTTCTGTAACCTGAGAGATTTTTACTACTTCAAAGTAAAATAGAAACAAAAGGACAATTCCAGGAAAGAACTCTTCACTTTTTCACTAGGTCTATACAGTACCATGGCCTTATCTTTATGAGAGTAGTTTCACAGTTTGGTTATAGCAACGGCAAAAGATGGAACAAGACAACCAGAAAGTCTTTTAGCCTGTGCTTCCACATGAGAGTTATACTTTCATGAAATAAAATGGAGAAACAATGCCAATGAATGCTGGTGCTGGGAGCACTGGCTACCATTACTTTGAAAACAAATCTTAATCCTCAATCTTTTTTACAACTTGATACTTTTTGATGAAAGAAAAGGGTGAGGGGGTAGAAATAGGAAGATAGTGAACTTTTAATCCAGCGTTCAATAGCAATATAAGGTAAGGAACAGAGAAATCCAGAGATGCTGGAATGCCACTGCCAGGGTGTTATGGTGCCCAGCTTTTTCATCTTTTTGGACAAAGCCAAGAGTAGCCAAGGTGCTACGCAGTGCTGCAACGTCTTAGCAAGGCTAGTCGTGTGTAGTTTGCCTCAAGGAAGAGATGGAAGGTACAGCCCTGTTTGCTGTTCTTTAAGGCAAAGTAACCCCTCAATTTGTTTTTTTTACTGGATTTTGTTTTCCCTCCCAAAAATAAAACTAACTCCCTACTCTGATGTATTAAAGAAAATTGCTTTAAATGGGCAACAAGCTTCCATCAGCCTTCAAGGTAGTTCAGCTAACAGACAGTAGATTTGTACTTCAAAAATAAAACTATCTTAAAAAACTTCCAGTAATTTATTAGCTCATTCTCATTATATTAGATACTATAGGACCATGCTTTTAGACAAGAGGTTACTGGCAAATACCCTAATATGAAGAAAGAAAAATCAGCTCTCCTTGCAGAAATTTACAGATTATTGGTCTTCTTCCTGCCCAGGTAAGTTTGGAAGTTCTTTCTTGTGTTTCATATGTGGGGAAGCTAAGACCCAAAAAGATGAAAAACATCATTGTTTTAAGTCATTAGTATCAAACACAGAGTGAGATGCACATAGATTTACGTTCTCTTAATAACTGGAACAAAACAAAAAGGCAAATTCAGTATTTATGACTTTAAGCTTCTCATAGGTATGTAGGCTGTGTAACACTGATGTTTTTGTAAATGCAGAAGTGTTTGGAGAGAGAAAATATTTATCAGTCTAGAAGTTATGTTCCATGGAAACACATTGTCTTCTCCCTTCATGGTTAACAATCTTAACTGATTGGTAATAGATCATTTTGCTTCAATGTTTCAGCAGCAAGTCAGGTGGGCTCCCTTTTGCCTTCTTTCAACATGTTTTTCATGTTTTAAAACGTAAATACTGCTTTGTATCATACCCCTGTCCGTTCTCATAAAGTACAAGGTGTCTATTCTGGTAAGATCTCACTAATAAATCTTCTACAGAATTAATTTCCTCCAGGCAACAAAGGTATGTAAATGCTATGTATCACCCTAAATCATTCTCATGAATGAAAAAGAATCCTCAACACTAACAATAAAAGCCAAAACATGAAAGCCACCTACATCTCTGAAGTACCACACTGAAACCACACAATGACAATGAAACCCCCTGCTTATGGCCACCATCGGCAAGTAGAATCCAGTGCTTTCAGTTACAGAACACTTCAATGGTCATACACCTGCTACTACAACTCAACTCAAAGCCCCAAACACACATTCTCACCTATTTTTCTGTTTAAAAGATGATCTGCTTAAATAGCTCAATTATGACAAAGAAAATGTCTTTAAAGATGCATTTCAAAGAACATAAACACTCTCTTCCTTTTAAATACACTACACATAACACATTCTATTAATTCAAAATTATTTCAGATTCATTCCTTTTTTATAGTACAAAAGGCCATTTCTAAGAAAGCTTTGTGTAATTCGCATGAAACAAGAATGAAAGCTAAACAAAATGCTGCTGAAACAAAGGCATCCTTGAATATGTGTTTGCTGTAGGAGGGGCAACAAAGCTGCCTGAACAGATAATGGAAGCAAGCCTTATATGGGGAAACCTTGCTAGCGTAAATACATGACAATGTCAAACTTAGATGTTCAAGTACTGAGTAGCCAGATAAGATTTTTTTAATTTCCTGGAAACACCATTAAAAAAAATTGCTGTACATTGTCCTAAAAACATCCACTATGCAAATTCTATTTAGACTTGTAGTCTTCTCCCCTTCTGAAAGAAAAAAAAAATTCATCAGTAATATTCAAACAAACATTCTTTTTGTTAGTTAGTTTAGATTTTGTTTTGGTTTAAGTTGCTTAGTGGAAGTCCATGATGTCATCAATGAACTATTAATAAATTCATGTTTATAATCATGTAGTCATGTAGTGTCCTGTTCAATCTTCCAGAAATACGGGACAATCATGTCTCCTATGAGCTACTTCAGACTGGTTTAAAGCAGCCAATTTATTTTAGGTTTGGGTAAAACTAGCAAGTTATTGGGAATGATCATAGAATCAGACTGCTTACAACAAGAGCACATCTCCATAACTTGCCCAAGTTTGCTTCAAAAGAAGATAGTTTTAGCCCAATACAAAACTAACTTCACTCTTCAAAGTCCTGTCCCTGCATTATACTGAATCTGAATATAATCTGAAATCCAACCTGCTGATGTTTTAGTGGTATTTGGAAGATGTGTGCATCTGTGGATTTTGGGGAAAGTTACCACAGTCAGTACTCGTTGCTAACATTTTGGGTTTGGATGTTACCACACCTCCAGAGATTTCAGTCAAGACAACATTCTCCAGCAACAGATGAGCACATTATAGAAAAAGTGTCAAAGGTTACTGGACATCAGGTGTCCACTTCCTGGTACTAATGCCAAGAGAGATTTGCTAAAACTCTTCTCTGAAACATCACTGAGGAGCCACAGAGTTCTTCCCACGGACAATATTGATGCTGTACTTCTCAGAGACGACTTCTCCTGTACAAAGATAAACTACTTTCTTAAGATCTCGGTGTTAATAGACTAAAAACATCAGTGTTAAGAGGCAAAATACCCTGAACAACTTATAAATTCAAAAACAGACTGCCATGAACCCATGCTCCTGAAGTTAGTACACAGTCCAGCTCCAGTCACTGAGGTCCTTCCTCAAAGCCCTCTGCTCTGGCAGAGCCCATGACTGACCAATTGTT